GGGGGGGGAAGGGAAAAAGTAGAAGGTTAAGAGAATTGTCACTGTAAGGGGGAAGGAAACTGGAAATAATTTACAGCTGACATTTGTTTATTCCTACTGTTCCCGTTTTGATTAGAAAATTGATATGCGCTTTTGCTCCTCCATTTTCCTCTTTTGAACAACATTAGGTTTTGTTTAAGCTCTTTTTATCTCTTCAAAAATGTCATACAAATTAAGCCAAATTTTTTTTATTCTCATTATTTCAGTTTTTATATATGCTGCTAGATGTACTTTAGCATAGCTGTATAAATTGGCAAAAACCTTTATCACCATTAGCAAACTGCATACATGACTGGATTTTTCCTATTTTCAGCTTTTTTTTCTTGCTTGATCCTCTACTTTTTTTCTGCTTTTTAACACTGTTACAAACCCGTATTAAAAATGATGTTAAAATTAACCTAATTGATCAGATAATAAGCGGAAGAAGAAGAAGAAGAAGTAGTAGTAGTGGAAGTAGAAGAAGAAGAAAAAGAAAGAAAAAGAAAAGATTTACATTCAGGTCGAATTTATCCACGAGGACAAACAGTACGAAAACCTAAACCGATAGCGCTGCTAGTATTACCATACAACACAGCGTTGGTCAGGGTTCATTGGTGATCCTCTTGGACAATGATATGCCCGTGCAAATTCCGGTTGATTAATTACTACGCCGTTAACACGAAAACGTAGTGGTGAATGCGGATCTGTTAAGATTTGTCGAATTTGAGCTTCAGGCCTTGTTTGTCCACACCAGGTCTGCAAAAATCATGCCAATTTTATAGTCTCTTTAACTACTATTGCCAAATTTACTGTTAGTAGTTACCAATTTGTTAGCTAATTTACCACTAAAGTGCAGCAAAAAAAACGTATAAATTTACCTGTGCGTAACTTAAGAAAAATATTTGGTCGTTTGAGTATTCTTCAAGACCGGGTAAACGCTTCTCTTCATGACCCAATTTTTCCAAGTAACGTTTGTAAGCCTATGGAAAAAAACAGTAGATAAAAATGATTGCAGAAAAACTGTAACTATAAAGAGTGAATAAAAAGTTTAAAATGCAAGAAGCACTATTAAAACCTTTTTCTACCTTGTAGGCTTCTTTAACACCTCCGTTATCAGCAATATTTTCGCCTTGAGTTAAAAGCCCATTAATATGTAATCCTGTGCCGGGAACTTCATAAGTGCTGTATTGATCGATGATACATTTTGTTCTCTCAGTAAACCGCTCTTTAGTTACGGTGTCCCACCAGTCCATCAAATTTCCTTCACTATCAAATTGACTACCTAAATTGATAGCAGTTTTTTAGTTTAAAGCACTGGTACTACGTTGTTATTTAAATAAGTACTACTGTAAATAAAGCTTTTCTGAGATAACTTTACAGCTGATATTGCAAATTTTTATTAGACTATAGACAGCGACGAAGATGTATGCAATACCTTGATCATCAAAACCATGCGTTATTTCGTGACCGATAACTGCTCCAATACCTCCATAGTTTACAGCTCTGCAAACAGTTTATTGTAATAAGAATAATCATAAAGATAGTGGTAATATGAAAAATTGATCTAACTCTGAAAATTCAACTGTACAGATGCAATTTTTTAGCAGAAAACATACTTTGGATAACTTCTGTCAAAGAGTGGAGGTTGAAGAATTGCAGCAGGAAATACTGAAAGAACATGTTTAGTAATTTGGAAAAAAAGTTTTCTTCTCACACTACTTCAGTTGGTAGAAAAACATTAAAACTTACTGATTCCATTTTTCAATGATGAATAGAATGCGTTGACTGTAGACGATGAAATACCGAATTCACTTCGATCAACTGGTTCAACCAGGCGATAAAAGTTTCGATCTTGTGCCCATTTGGATGTTTTTTCAACCATTTTAGCGTAGCTGTCGCCAGGTTCTAATTTGAGCTGAAGATTTTTGTTTGTATAAGCAAGAGGAATGAAATGAACAAAACTTTTTAGATATTTTGATTTGATTAAAAATAAACATTTACTTTTCCATAATAATTATCCAATTTTTCATCGTCAAGAAGAAAATCTGGATATCCAATCAAGCTTTGCATCTTAGATTCCTTTTCAAGAGCATAATGACGTGTGGTGTTGTCCATCCAGTCATTTTTCAGCAGCATGTCTCTAAACGCATCATGGAGATCATCGATCATTTCCAGTGCTGCCTCTTTGTCTGCCTAAAATTTCCACTAAACGTTGGTGAAATAAATCATTTGAATAAGTCATAAAGATTTCATATCAATTAATCTAGCAAACTTCTAATCATCAAAAATAGGAAAGAGCAAACCTCTTTGAAATATTCGCGAACGTAAATGGCACCAGCAGCATAGGTCATTCTACCAGAGGCAGCTGTAACGCAATCCTTCCACCTTGGTGATTTTACCTGTTTTCCGATCATTGCTCTCAAGAAATTCTGAAACCCATTTTCTGAATCATTATACAAGGAATTAGAATTAACAATTAAATCAAAAATAATTATATAAAAAAAGCAGACCTGTTGAATGTCATCATAACGTTGATCAAGTTGGAAACTCCATGCTGATGTATAGCGCCATATGATATAGTTTGTTATGATACGTTTATCAGTTTTCTGCAATAGTATAAGTGTTATTGAAAAATCATACGCAATAAAGTGAATTGTTGCCAAATTTGAGGACAGACTTGTAGAAAATTGAGCAAATATCGAAAATCAGTGTTCACAGAATAATTATTTACCTCCAGAAGGTTGCTTAGTCGTTTCAAAAAGTCCACTTCATTGACAATAATGTTAGGGTTATTATTTAGGTAATAATGAAGCTCATAAGGCATCAAAGCACGAAAATAAGTGTCCCAATCGACCTGAATCATGAATCATCAGTAAAATATCGTTAACAACAACAAACCATGAAGAACTGGTTTATACTGTAGATGTCGGTTACCACACTTAACTTTTACAACAGTTATGATGACGTCTAAAGAACAATTCTGCAAGCATTTTGCCAAAAGACTGTTAAGTAAGTAATTTTAAATAAGTAATTACATTTGGTAGCAGCGTTTGCAGTTCACTGTATTTATGAATGTTGTACAGTTTTGTGTAGTTTCGCCGCTCATTTTCAGAAACCATTATCTAAAAGAAAAAATTTTGTTTTTACTTCATCATATCTTTATTTTTTCAGCAATTTTTACGAAAATATAAAATCATTGATGTTTATCTACCGACCTGAGCAAGATTTTTTTCAAAGTCCATTATTTCTCGCACATCACCAGCGATATCCTCGGCTGTTTTACGAATGCCAGCATCTTCGGCGATCAAAAGTACCTGAAAATTTTGAACCATTATCGATGCTGTTTTCTAATATCCGACAATAAAAAGTGCCGCAGATAAATGTTAGCAATAATAATGCGGTAAAAAAAGCTAAACCTTTTCTGTAATATAGTTTTCATAAGCGTTCAGTTGTTTGCTGTAGCGTTTTTCATCCAAATAATAGTCTCTGGCATTAGAGCCAAGTCCAAGAGTACCTTGATCTATCTGAAAAAGAAAAACCTGTTGCAACTATAATTCTAAAAGCCACTCAATCTCAGCATAAAACGCTCTCTTACGTGGATCAATCTTGATGAAACATTCCGCTGGTCAGGCGAAATATACATATCAAAAAATATGTCCATAGCTCTATTAGTGCCTAGAAACACTAGCAATTCAGTTAGGTTATAGAATGAGGGATCCCATAAGTCAGAATGAACAATTGGCCAGTAATTCATTTCCTAAAATTCAAGTTTTTTAAGAACGGGAAAAGCTGAAAATTTTAAGTAAACAAAACAACAGTATCATTTTTGTTATTGTTAAAGACTGGGTTTATGGTTTGAGCTGCTGCTGTAACTTCTTCTTCACACCATTTGCTTGTTAAAAGTTTGAACTTTTTTCCTTTACTTTTTTTTTGAAAAAAGGTCATAAGACTTTTTTTTCAAAATTGTTTTTCTTTATAAATGAGAACCGTTACTAATGAGTTTTGAAAGTTCTGTTTCAATTTAAGAATAGTGCTGTAGAATTTTATCCTTAAAAAACGACAGAAAAGAGTGAAAAAGGGACGGTGCTCTTGCCAAAAGAAAATGCCTACAACGACGGAACCTTAACAACTTTACTTTCTTTTATTACTTATTGTCATGCATAAATAATGACCAAAGCAAGAAAATCTTCGAGAACCTGCTTAAAACCTTTTAAAGAAAAAAAGCTTCTCTTAATAGAATTCTTGTCAGTAAACCGTACGTAGAATGCTTCTTACTTGTCGTAAATCAAAAAACTTTGATTCTTTTAATGAATAAGCGCAAACTTGTTCTTGCTTCGCCTTCGTTTCTTTTGCTGCTCATTTCAACAGAAACCACTGTGGGTCAGCAGACAAAAACAAATTGTTTTACTTCTTCATTCTTATTTCGTTTTCAATTTCTGCTACCAGTCTTGTCTTTTTGTTCAGACCGTTTTTTTTTTTTTTTTTTGAAATTCTGTTTGTACAGTTCTAAAACTGGCAATTCTGGAACTTTTTTAGTCTCTTAAACTTGCGGCTGCGGAATAATGACTAGGCAATAAAAGGCAGTGAAGTTAAATTGTGTGTAATCACTTTAATTAAATGCTCTCAGTTTAAACCGCTCTTGCAACTTAGTTTGACGTAACCAAAATTATTCGCTGAACTTATAGTGCTAGAAACGTCATAAGCAATTCACGAAAAGCTAGTTTTTAATGACTTTTAATGAAAATGACTTTCAGGTACCTTGATAGCTTCCAAGAGTTCGGAACCCTTTGTTTCATCATGTCTTCTAGTATCCATACAGCCATGATAAACTTGTCGAAGGTCGTTGATTGCTTTTGACGTTGAAAGTTGTCGGGCATCCAACAGATCTGAAATATAAAATTATTTTTCACAGAAAAATTATCGAACTCAATTAGATTTAAAATTTCAGTTTAATCAACTTTATTATTTTACTGTCGTTAAATCATCGAAACGTTATACTTCAGACAGAAAAATATAATCACTGCATACCCCTCATTTCTTGAGTGACTTTTTCTCGCATAGCTGCAAAATGTCCATAGCTTGCAAGATCAGGTGGAACATGGTTATACAAGTGCCAATTTCCGCATGCAAATTCATAGAAGTCGTCACATGGATCAACTTTTGAGTTCATTGACTTCAGAAAATGTTGCGCCGCTTGAATGTACCCACGTGAAGTGCCGACTTCTACAACATTCACTGAGCTGACAAGTTTAGATCCTAAAAATTCTACTTCAAAGGTTAGTTTGAAGCAGTTTTTCCCATTTTTTCCCCTTTCTTCACACCAAAGTTTGCTAAATTTTATGGCCAACAAACTTCATTTCAATCTTCATTGTACAACTGAAATATTAACCGTCTCCTTCTCCAATTGAATTGACACTTGGCCATGCTACTGCAGTTATCGCGGCAATAATCAGTATCAAACAGCATATAATAATCAAGTTTAAGGAGCTGGCCATTCCGTTATTTGTTTCGGTTCGTTTTGGTTGCTTGTTAAGACAGCTTTTCAACCACCAAATGGCCCTCCTTTAAGCAGTGTCTGTATAAACATGATCAAATTGTAATTGAAAAGAACTTATTAATTACTACTGAATATTCCACATTTGTACAGTTTACATTCATTCAACATGAAAAGCAGATAGCAAAAAAAAAATCAGTAAAACAAAAAGAAGAAAAAACGAAGAATGACAAAGAAGATAGAAATTTTTAGCAGTATTAGCGTCAGAACAACAATTTCTTTCCTCCCTCTTGTTTTGTTAACGAAACATTATACATGAAAGAGAACAAAAACAACAAAAAAATAAAAATGAAAATAAAAAATAGAATTAAAAAAAGCTTAAGAAAAAAGAACAAAACGAACAATAAAACAACTCTTTGAATTGCTTATAAATTAGAGGTGTGTTAGTCCTCTCTTCGCTATTCTGTATTGTTTTTCTTTTTTTACCTGTTCTTTTCAATCTCAAATTTAAAAGCAATAAAAATAAAAACTTAAAGCAATAAAAAAACAGCAATTTTCTTTTTTATTTATCACCGAAGACTAAGTGCTAACTGAAACTAATCTGTTGATACTAACAACAGATAACAGTAGCAGCAAAGATACACAGACATTCACTGACACACACACACACACACACACACTCAAAGATGCAGACACACAGACACACACATTGAAATATAAGCATATGAAAGGTCTAAAGATGGTAAAAAAAAGTTATAAAAACAACAAAAAAAAAAAAAAAAACGTGGCCAATTGAAAAACAATATTGTTTTTAAAGTTGAGAGCTATCAACTTCGCAGAATGTCAGCTGAATAAAATGGGTATCCCATAAATGGTAACAATTTATACTATCATTTTATACACTGTCAAACTGTTAAACAGCAAAATAAAAAAAGAAAAAAGAAGAAAATAATAAAGAGAAGAATTTGATCATTAATTACAAACCAAATACGAAAAATATTATTTATAGCAGTAGCAGCAGTCGTAACAACAGCCAACAAATAACAGCAACCATGATATATGGCGATCAACCATCAGGAAAATTGGAGAGGTGAAACTGAGTAAATGAAAGGTAGAAGTAAAAAAAAAAGCAGTAAGAGAAATACTGAAATTTGAGTACAGTTATTGATAGAGAAGTCAAAAGACAGAAAGAAAAGAAGAGATCATGTAAACTAAGTTTTTTTTTTTTTGACCACAAAATAAGGTTAATTTTTTTTTCTGGTAAAAAGGTGAAAAAGAAAAGGGGAAGGGGGAGGGGGGCGGAATACGATTAAAGGAGACGGTGAGAAGTAATTACCAAACGTGTGACACAGACCTCGTGATAAAATATTACAAAC